CAGTCAGTGAAGCATGGACTGAGGAGGGTGAGGGGTGCAGGAGCAGGAAGGTGGACCTCAGGCCAACCAGGCAGGGGACAGGCCTTCCTCACTTGTGGGACTTCTTGGTATTGGCCCCATCAGGGCCCTCGCCACAGTCGTAGGCCTGGATGGTGAAGGTGTGCTCCTTCTGGGCCTCACAGTCCACTGGTTCCTTGGCCCGGATCAGTCCCTCTCCTGTTGCCTTGTCCAGGATCACAGCCTCAAAGGGTACCCCAGATCCATGGAGCCGGAAGCCACAGATCTCACCTGGTAAGGGAGAAAGGAGGAGGAAAGGAAGGCCTGAGGCTCCTACCCAGCTGTGGCTGCTCCTTCCCATCCCTGGGCACCTGCCTCCTAGGTCCAGCTCTACCTCTCCACCTCTTTTCTTGTAACCATGAAAGTGTCAGTGATTAGATGTACAATCCCAACCACTCCAACCCAGCTTCCCTGAGCAGCAGCTTCTAGGAGCCGCCAGCCCTGAGGTCTGGCAGAATCAAAACATGTTCAATACCTGTTTGCCCAGAATCTCCTCCTACTCCACCCTTCTCCTGCTCCCTCTGCCTCCCACCCCTTTTGGTCTGTCCCACCTGCTCTGCAGCCCCAGCCCCAATTACCTGCATAGCGTAGAGGGGCATCTTTGTCCAAGGCGAAGAGTGGCGGGTTCAGCAGGACAGTATTGTCGTTCTCCATGACAATGCCCTGGTACTCTGCCTCGATCCATGGTTTGTGCTTGTTGGCTGGCCCAGCCCCAGGGGAAAGAGAAAAAGAGCCTGTGAGTGGGACCCCCATCCCCAACACAACCCTCGTGGAACGAGACACCTCACTCCCTGCCAGAGCACTGGCAGGAGCAAAGGCTGAGGACAAGCAATCAGCTACACAAGGAGCCCAAAAGTCCGTGGAAAGCCACCACCTTACCCAACCACAGGACAGTTCCCATGGCAGCTGCCTGCCCTTGAAGTAAAGGGATACTATCTCTTCTGGTAACCATGGTTAGGGATGAAGAATCTCCCTACCCCGTCAGTACAGGGGATTAAACCCAGGTCCTTAGTGAGCTACACTCCCAGCCCTTTTTTTTTTCATCTTGAGACAAGGTCTCACTAAATCACTCAGTTGCCCAGGCTGGGCTTGAACGGGGATCCTCCTGCCTCATCTTCCCAGAATACTGGGTTTACAGGTGTGCAACCACACCCAGCTTGGTCAAAGAATCTTTGGGGACTTCACTTGCTGGAGAATGGAGACTGAGAACTGTCTTCATTGGAAAGGCCCTGGAGGCTGGGGATTTAGCTCAGCGGCATAAGCGCCTGCCTTGCAAGCAGTCAGTTGTGAGTTCGATCCCCGGTACCGATAAAAAAAAAGAAAAAGACCAAAAAAAAAAAAAAAAAAAAAGGAAAGGCCCTGGACAGGAAAAGAATCAATAAAGGGCAGAGTAAAGACTTAGAAGTTGCCTGAGATTTTGACCATTTTTCCTCTCCCCCACCCCACTTCACTTCACACTTCTCCCATAACAGATGAAGAAGTGAAAGGAAAGAAGCAAAGGTATATAGGACAGAGGGAGGGACAGCAAGGGCCAGATCAGAGCAAGGAATCAACGCCAAATGGCAACACAGCAGAGCCCTCGTCCTAAGGGATTATTGAGCTGGCCTAGAAACACAGCCAATCCCTCCCTGTTCCCACTCCCACTCCCAAGAGAACAGTCACAACCAGCACAGCACTGTGTCTTCTACAAGGTTCCAAACACCACGCTCCCTGACCCTACCTAGGACACAGACCCAAAACTTAACCCCAATTCAGAATCCACGCCACCCCTCTGCCCTTCAGCCACCAGCCAAGTGAGGATGGCAGTGGGACTATTTCCTCACCTCCTGCCACACGCAGCTAATGAGTCTGTGTCTGGTCCCCAGGAAGAATCACCCACTAACCTGGTGGGGCTTCCAGAAAGTGAAGGGAATCCTCAGGCTCCTCGGGTTCCCTCCCCTCTCCCTCCCTCAGCCCCAGCCTCCTCTGCGGGTGCTGCCTGATCCCATCTTGCCCATGAGCCAGCAAAGCCCATTGATGACAGCACATCAGCTGCACAAAAGTGGGAGAGGATGGATTATTGGGGGAAATTGAGTCATCAAACCTCATCCTTAGGATCTCATGGTGAGCAAGAAATCCTGATTGCCACCCGTTCTCCTCCAACCATACCCCAGCAGGCTCCTTGCCATCTGTGCACCTGCCCCTGCCCCTCTCTCACTGATGACCACCAGAGCCCCTTCCCTAATGGCTGGGGGAAAGCCACAAGACGGTGCACAAGAGGCCGCACAGGAAGTGGCAGGAGGCTCAGGAGCCAGGCTGAGGCACTGGGGCCAGGAGCTCCCACCAGAAGAGGGGAGAGCAGACCGAAAGGCTGAGGCGGGGCAGGGCAGAGCTGGGCGTCCTCTCCACAGCCCACCTTCCAGCCTGCTGCTCTCCTGCTCCCTGAGCCTCCTGGGGCCCCCTGCTCCCCGCCCTTGGCCCTGTGTCTTGTGTCCTTCTCTGTCACTCATTCAGGGCTCTCTGGCTACCCCCCATCTTCTCACCTTTCGCCCTGCTTTTCTTTCCATCCCTCCCTCTCTGCCTCCACCTTTACCCTTTGCATCCCCTTGGTCCCCTCCCACGCCTTACCTTCCTCACCGTCTTCCCGTCTTCCCAGCTTCCCCTCTCCCCACTCACGCAGCACCCCACACACCCACTCCTGTGCTCCCCACCTTCCTCCCTCCCACCTACCTGGCCCCCACCCCACGATCCTGCTGTGCCTCCCTCTGTCCCTCTGCCGGCTTCTGCCAGCCCATTAACATCCGCTGTCTGCCGGGGAGGGCAGCTCTGTAACCCACACCCCAGCTGGTGCACGCAGGAGGGTACGAGGGCAGGGACCACGCCAAAACATACGTGCTCCGAATTGCAGTTTCTCCCCAGGATGGGAGGGAGACAGAGCAGACGCGCGTCTGCCCATGGCACACGCTTTGCTTCGTGTGTGCGCACACCCCAGGGAAGGCAGGAACCCAGGAGGGGAGGGGTACATAGACCCCTGGGTCAAGTCCTTAGAGGCCCGAGATGCCCACCAGCCCCCCCCCGGGGGGGTGGGAATAGGACCACATGGGAGCAAGAGGACCAGAGAGCACATGGGTAGAGATGAGCCAGGGGCAGGATGGCCCTGGGAGAGAGGCAGCTAGGAAGGAAGTAGGTTTGGGGAAGGGATGGGAAGGGGGGCTGATGAAGAGCCACCTGTCAGATGCCAGAAAGCCAGGGCGCCTCACCCCGCCCCACCCCCAAGTCGCTCTCCAGACCCTTGGTTCAGCGCCCCCACCCCCACGCACTCACCTTTGTTGCCATAACTGGGTGGGAGCAGAGAGGCCAGCAGGAGGGACAGAAGCAGCAGGCTCATGGTGCGCGGCGGGGGAGGCAGGGCTGGACCTGGCAACCGCTGTCCCCTGGGAGCCGCAAGCCTGCTAATTACCCCTCGGGAGGGATGCAGGGGTTCCCCTAGGAGGAGAGGGCAGGGGGCAGTGACAGAGAGAGCCTGCTGCCTGTGCTAGTCCATAGAGCAGGCCTGGCGGATGCCGGTCTGGTGGCTAAGAGGGGGACCTGCTGTGGCTTCTTCCCGAGCCCTCTGAGCCCAGCGTCCTCTCTCTCACTGCCACCCCATCCCCTCTACTGCAGGATGACGTCAGCACGGCCAGGCCAGGATTGATGGGGCCCCTGGCCAATCGGGTGACTGGGGGCGCCAGGTGCTGCAGGGGGGGAGGGAGCCAATGGGACTGGGGTGCAGAGGCGGGAGAACGTGTTAGGGTTTTTTCCCGGGACTGCAATTTGGGGGAGCAGAGGAACTGCGGGGGCTGGGGAGGAAGCTGGGAAGCCATAGAGAGGGCGGGAGACCGAGGGACAATGGGAGAGGGAGATGCTAGAAGCTTGGGAGTGGGAACGGAGATGTTAGCAGAGGGTGGCCAGGAGCGGCAGCATTCACGACACGCACACCCACACCCCCGACTCTGCATTAACCTCTTTTCCATCAGCTAGTGCCTTCTGCGTGCCTTCCGGGAACTGCGAAGTAAAACCTTCAGCCTGAACCGGAGAGATGCTAGCATTTCAGTTCCCAGCCCAGGCGGCAAAGGAAACCGTGAGAGGGTCAGGCGGGGACTGGGAAGGGCACTGGCACTGGCCAGGGAGAGTCACACAGTTGTGCCCTCCCCTCAGGCACACACGCCTGTGAGGACGGGTCACACAGCTGGAATGTCAGGCTGACCTCCCTACCTTCCCCTTCCCCACCTGAAACCATGACGGAGCAGCCCAGCAGCTTGGAAAGCCAGACACCTTTGGGTTTCAGAGAGAAGTGCACAGGCAGGGAAAGGGCACACAGTCGTTTTGCACACCACTGTGGGAACACAGCTGCTAAGGGTCTGCAAGGGTGACTCAGGGGAGGGAACCCCTGGGTCCCCAGAAAGAGAGAATAAGATTCTCCAGAAGAGCCAGCCAGACCCCTCTCTCACCCTCTCCAGACCTAGAGTCTCGGCCTGCCTCTTAACTGCTATCTAAAACCAAGCCTAGCTTGCCAGTCTGGCAACTCATTTCCATCAGCCACCTGAAGGAACTTGGAGACAGGGCTCCAGGGCAGCTTGCTATCTCCTTCCTCGGACCCTTCAGTATCCCTGACTCTGCTCCAGGATCCTTACACAGCCAGGCAGCCACAGCAGCCTATGGGGCAGTCTTCCCCACCCAGGGCTCCTCCAGCCTCCCAGAAATGACCTGGAGGCCAAAACAGGCCTTGAGAAGGCATACATTTTAGACGATTCACAGCCCCAGTCCCTCTCTGGGTTCCCTCCTCAGGAAAAGCAGAGATGAGGCTCAGCTTTGCTAAGTCCCCAACCAATCTGGAAGAGGGAGGAACTTTTATTGCAGCAGGGCCCTAGCCCTATAAAAGCCCTGGCCACTGACCTTTCCACCTGTGTGTGTGTGTGTGTGTGTGTGTGTGTGTGTGTGTGTGTAGGCCACAGGGCTTCAGTCAGCCTTGTCTGCCACACAGCACCTCTTCCCTTCTCACGCTGCTGCAGTCTCCTACATTCTCCTGCAATCTTGGGCTCCCTCTTGGCCACCCAATTATGCCTCCCAACCTCACAGGCTACTACCGCTTTGTCTCGCAGAAGAACCTGGAAGACTACCTGCAGGCCCTAAGTAATGCCCCCTGTCTCCTAACCCCTTCCTCTCCCTTCTACCTCAGGGACCCACTGAGAAGGGGACCCGGAGTTGGATGCTGGGAAAACGCTTGGGTGGGATCCATTTCTGAGAAGAGGGAGGTCAGTCCCCAGTGTCAGACCTACCTTAGGCACCATTCACAACCCTACCGACTCACCCCACTAAGACTCAGCCCCCCTGCAGACGTCAACGTGGCACTGCGGAAAATAGCACAGCTGCTGAAGCCTGACAAGGAGATCGAACACAGCGGCAACCACATGGTAGTGAAGACCCTCAGCACCTTTCGCAGCTATGTCATGGAATTTGAAGTGGGAGTTGAGTTCGAGGAGGACCTGAGGGTCGTGGATGGACGGAAATGCCAGGTACTTCCCTGGAGGTGGTGAGAGGGGGTTGCCTCCAAACAATGTAGCTGAACCAATGGGACTCCCCCAGCCACAGCCAAGGGAGTAACCACCGCAGCAGGGCCCAGCACCTGCAGGGTACCTGTCAGGCTCCTGGTTCTCTGTTCTCCTCCCCCACTCCTTCCTACTTCTTCCCTGCCCCCTCTTAGTCATCAGCCAAAAGGGCAGAAAAGCAGACTACCTACCCAGGCAATCAGCACACATTTGCTGGCCCTCTAGCCTGTGACACTGAGTTACCACAGTCTCTCTTTTTCCATCATCAAGCATTGAACCCAGGGCTTTCACACTGTGCCGTATCTCCAGCTCTTTTTTATCTTTTATTTCAAGGCAGTATCCTGTTGAGTTGTTGAATCTCCCAAACTGGACCCAAACTTGTCCTCCTGCCTCAACTTTCCAGAGTGCTGGGATTACAGACCTATACCACCACACCCAGCCTCTTTTACTTAGCACCTATAAACCTACTTTCCTGCATTTTCCCATGCTTTCCCATGGCTCTTGTTGATCCCCTTTACAGACAATAGTTTTCTTATTAATTCCTTAAGTTGCAGTTTTCACCCAGGTTTTGTCTTAACCCTTTTTTTCTTGTCTGTACACTGTTCGTAAGCAAAATCATCTATCTGTACCTGTGCTTTCTGCAGCCATCTATAAACTGCCCTTGACATTTCTTCTCTAGCCAGAGCCATCTCCTGAGCTCCAGGGTGATGTTTTTAGCTGCCGGCAAAATATTTCCATCTATGCGCCCCAAGGTCAAACCTGAATTCATTATATTCTTGCACAAACCATTTTTGTATTTACTGTCTCTGTTAATGACAATAACAAGCAGGACCAGAAATCATAGTCAGTGTTTCTTGTTTTCTCAGTTCTGTGCTCCCAACACACACACACACACACACACACACACACACACACACAGCCTACCTTAAGAAGTCTTTGCTATCCTGCCTATCTGCACTGTCCAATATTGGGGATTAAACTCAGAGCCTTCACACTGAGCTATATCTCCAATCTTTTTTTATTTTCTATTTTGAGACAGGATCTCACTAAGTTTCCCAGGATAGGTTCAGACTTGTGCTTCTCCTGCCTCAGATTCCCCAAGTACTGGGATTATTGGCAGGAGCCACCATGCATGGCCTTGGAGTTTAAAATCGTATCCAAAAAACAGTGTAAGATGTCTCAGAAATATTTATATTGGTCACATACTAAAATTCTAGTATTTTACTATTTTAGGTTAAATAAAACATATTATTAAAATTGAGCTCATCTGTTTCTTTTTTCCTTTTCTAATAAGCTCCCAGAAATGCTTTATACATATAACTTGTATTTTTGATCCATTTTATTTCTAGTAAAAGGTCACCATCTAAATGTCTCTCGCCTGTTTCTTCCTACTCTTTCTCATTACACCATCTTTCTCACTAGAGGTCCAAAAGTGGTCCCCAGACTTAACCCTCCACCACTCTGCATACTGCAGCCTCGGGATCCATCTGTGATGCAAAAGTGGCCATGTCACTTCCCTGACTTAAAGCCCTTTGGCAATGATATATTCCAGACAAAGCCCACACATCCAGCAGAGCACACATGGTCGTGGGTTTGGGAACTGGCTCCTGTGTTCCCACACACAGTCTCGGTTAGAGCCCTTCAGAACAATATGACCTTCTTTCTTCTATGCTACTTCTTTCCTTGCTAAAAAGTTTCCCATTATGGATCTCCAATCTGATTAACTCCCAACGTCCTTAAAGACTTGGCTCACCCTTCCCTCCCATGCCCAGTCCTGTCCTCGCTTCTTAAACAGCAGTCCTGGGCCTCCATTGGTCAAGACTGAGCTCAGCAGGCTGTCCTCAGGAGAGTCCATGAGTGCTGGATGGAATGCCCAGGCCAGAGAGGTTGGTCTTTCATTCCCAAAGTCCTTGAAAGTGAAAGAGGCTAATCTCTCTTCTTCCTTAAAAGATCCCTGTGGATCCGCTGGAGAAATCAGAAAACAAAATCTCCATTCTTTGTCATCCCCCTCCCCAACTCCACCGCTGCTCCTCTCATTGAATGTCACCATGGACAATGGTGGCTCCTTAGAGGTCTTCAGTTGGGGGGGGACACTGATGAAGCAGAGCATCTGTCCCAAAATGGAGGGGCTGGAGGAGATGGAGTGACTGGAGAAGCATTTGGGGTGCCCTCCCAGTCATCTCTTATCTCCTCTTTAGACCACAGTGACCTGGGAAGAAGACAAGCTAGTGTGTGTGCAGAAAGGCGAGGTCCCCAACCGGGGCTGGAGATACTGGATGGAGCGAGACATGTTACATATGGTAAGTGGAGGGCAAACAAAACCGGGGTGTCTGAGGAGTACCCTCAGCCAGGATGCATCCCTTTAACAAACCATGTGAGTCTACTCCTATACCCCAGCCCTGCCTTTACCCACCCCAGCAAGGGGGGACGGAAACAAAAGGATGGAAACTAAAGCCTTGGAAGAGTGTGGGGAGGAGGAGGAAGTGGCTAAGATGGTCCCTGACTGCAAATCACATGATGCCTGTACATCAGAATGGTTGGGATCTGCCAGGCATGGTGGCACACAACTGTAACCTCAACACTAATGGGGTTGAGACAGAAAGATCTGGGCAGGTTTGAGACCAGCCTGAGCTAGCTACATAGGGATTTCGAGGCCAACCTGAATTACAGAGTAAGACCCTACCTCAAAATTTTGGGGACCACAAATTATAAACTGAGTCTAGGAGATATCCAAGGCTGTCCTTGCCCTGCCCTGTAAGCCAGACTGGAACACAGAAACTCTCCACTTCCTCCTGGTCACAGCTGAAGCTAGTGACACTGTGAAGCTCACAGGACAGGATAAGATCTGCTGAGGAGGACGATCTTTAAAGCAATATAATAGCAGTACTAAAAATTTCACCTGGGGAAACTACTGTTTCCTCACTGGCCCTTGTCTCATCCTTGCAAGAATGCTTCATTGTTTCAGTGGACCACCCTAATCGCCATGACTGTTCCTGAGATCACTCACCTCCACTCCCCATGCACTGGCTAATAAACATAGTGGCCAGCTAGAGAGTCTTTGCCCGTGCCCATTCTGAGGCATTGAGCTCCCAGTCTCTCTTTTCATGCATTACTAAATTGTCTCTGTCTCTTTTTTTCATCTTTTTTATACTCCTCATACAGACAGTTGGGGATCTTGGCCAGGTCCCTGATCTGTTAGCAAAAATAATAACTATTATTATTATTATTTATTTAATTAATTAAATTTTTAAAAAACAAAACATGGGGATGGAGAGAGCCACTTCACATCTCCTGGCTCCGTGACCTTCCTTCCTCTGGGGTGAAGAGTTGAGGAACGATTTCCTATACATCAAATACTCTGGTTGCTATTCCATAAGGGAGCAAACAGAGGTCAACAGGGCATGGAGAAGGGAGCTCCTGCTGAGAGAACCTTCTTCCTCTCTCCTCCTCCATCCCCAGGAGCTGACAGCGAGGGGCGCTGTGTGCAAGCAGGTCTTCAAGAAGGTCAGATAGCCCGGGAGGAGCCGAGCCTCCAGACTCTGCTTTGTGTGCCTCCTTCCAGCCCAGACTGTGCCGGGTCAGCGTCCCTCTCTCCTCAGCCACTTGCCTCCCTCTGGACCCTCCTCAGCCCCCACCTGTTAATCGGTAACTGGCAGTCCCCAGGTCAAAGTCCTTCCTGTCTCACACTACTCTGCCCAACAGCAGTCCCTGTCCCAGGTCAAGATCTGGCCTCCTGGGTGTCAGAGCCCTCGAACAAAACCTGGTCTTTTTCGTTCTTTGGTTTCTTATTTTCCTAAGCTCTGGGTATTTTGTAGGCACTTGAGAATCAGTGAAATCTATCCTGGTGGGTCTTCGGGAAAATTATGACTGGATTCAAGATTCAAATGGAAGCCACTTGGAAGAGTGTGCTTATTCCCTTGCCTTTTCCTAGAGAAAGTCTCATGTACTCTACAGAAGCCTCACTGTGCCAACATCAGGAGGCATCCTGGCCATTTGATCCCCCTTTCCACAGGCAGGGGAAAGGGACAGAGCTAAGAAAGTATTTTGTCCCAAGAGCCCCCAAATAGTGCCGCAGCCTCCATGGCTGCTTTGGGAAACACTGGCAGCAGAAAGGCCCGAGGGACCCAAAAGGGAAACAATTCGGGGATGCAAGGTCCAAGGGATAAAGGGATCTGTGGCCGTGGGGAATGGCAGGAGAAACCCAGCAGAAGTGACCATACAGGCCTCTGCCCTGAGGGTCAGCCCAGCTGGAGCCAAGGTAAGGGGGAAAGCTATGGACAGCAAGACCACTCCCCAGAGTGCCTAGGAAAACAGTCTGCAGGGTGGAGCTGTTCAGGGTCAAGGCCAGCACCAGCCTCTGTCCCCTCCCGCCCTTCCAGGACCTCGGTCCATTCAAAATAAAAGTCTGATAGGGCACGTGGCACAGAAAAGAGTGATCACTGTGAGGGTGGAGTCTGAGACTGGTAGGAGGGCTGGAGAGGTGGATGTTGGAGAGTCCCTGGCCTTCACTGATGAGCACCCTGGCCCCTTCTTCCTGCAATGGTGAGGTCCTTACCTGAGACAGTGACTGGGCCTCTGGCCAAGAGAACTAGGCTTGTGCTACTGACACTACCATATATCCTGCAATGAGTTTGGAAAAGGATTCAGAATTGGAGTGAATCATTTATTCCCTGCCCCTCATAGGATGTAGGGAACTCTTCCGGGCAAAGCCACCCAACAGAAGCTGCAGTCCTACCCTGTCCCCTCCCAAGGCACAGGGAGATGCTCAGGTGTTCTTGCCCCTTTGTTGCCACCGGGTCGCTGTGGTGTCCAGGCCCTGTGAGTACACAGTCCAAGTCTCCTCCGACAGGACTGTCCTCCTGAGAGTCCAGGATCCTTCTTTGCAGTCTTGTCAGAGCTCTGACTCAAGAGCTTGTGAGCCCTGAAGGTGGCTGCCAGACCCAAGGTACAACAGGCTCAGTCCCTCAAAACTCTTTGTGATCACCTGCAGTGCATGTCCCCATTCTTCACTCAGCCATGTCGCCGTAGGCTACAACAAGAGCCCAGAGGCTCCCAGGGACTGCAAGAGCCCAGAGAAGATCTGAGAGGTTCTGAGGACCTGGGAGCCATAGCCACTAAGAGACAGGAGAAGCTAGAGCAGCTGTCTCCCCTGTGGCCAGCAGAGGGCGCTGCACACATCAGCAGAGCCAGAGATCGTTCCAGTTCCAACTCTTTCCCTCCTCCAGCACGTTCTTGGATATTCTCTGCACCACACCACACACACACCCCAATTCCCAGTCCACACAAGACCGTTGCCTCTCCTTCACAGCAAACTCTGCTTACCCTGTGAGAGATGGTCACCGCAGGAAGAAACCTGTAAGAAGGAAAGGCAAGGAAGGGAGGGAGTAGGTCCCACCCACTCCCAGCCTCGCACAGGGAATGGACCCTCAGACCTGGGAGTTGACTCAGTTGACCAGAGTCTTAGAACCGAAGAAGACAATTAGGAATCCAAAATGTTTAGTTCTGTGTGAGACAGAAGTGTAAACTGCTAGATCAGGCGCCAGCCCCACTCCCTCTCCACCACACGGGGATCAGGATACCTGGAATGTGAGAAAGCCAGCCTGACAGGCCAGAAAGGCAGTCATCAGGACAGTCTTGCTCCGTGCAAGACCTCTACCAGAGACTATAGAGGTCCTGGAGGAATAAGATGGAGCTGACCTTCGGTATTCACCCTCCTAGCAAGAACAAGGGGCCTTGTCTTTCACCAGCACTTCCAAACCCACCACCCAGCTGGAGATGAGGGCTCTGCCTCCCCCTACTCCACCCCAAGCCTCATTTCTCCTACTTTGCTTTACTCTGGCCTCTAGGAAAAGGGACAGCCCTAGGAGCCTCCATTCTGTACCCAAGGTGTAGTGCCCAGAGGGTCACCCATACAGCCAGGCCTTTAGGTTCACTGGTACATCACTTTCCAGGAGTTCTGCATGAACCCACATGAGTCAGTGAGAAGGCTTTGGTATCAAACTGCCACCTGCTATTAGCAGTATGAGTGTATACAGGTCACCACCTTTCAGCAAATAACCACATGCGCCAGGCATCAGAGGCAATACTGAGAGCTTCCTCCTGGCATCTTTGGACGATTTCATGCCCTCTCTTATCAGAGTATGAGGAAAAAAGAAGGCACCAGCGACTGATGGCTGCTCCTGCTTGTATGATTTCCTTCCTCAGCACTTGATGCCTGAAATTCTCCTGACCAGAAGCAAACCTTTGTATTCTATAGCTTAGGACAAGGCGTCAAGTACCTGTACCCTGGAAGTCACACAGTGACATATTTGTACCAAAGTGGAAGTGACCAAGAGCAGAGAAATAGAGCCAAAATACAGCTGCACCTTGGCTCTCCAGGCCAGCCAGTCACTTAGGAGTGATTCGGTTGACAGGGACCTACTGAACACGCCCAGACTGCAGAGCTAGCGTCTGTCACTGTCCCACCTGCTATGCCCAGTGAAGGACAACTGTGCTACCCCGTGGAGCCCCTGGGCCAGCATCAGGGACGCTGCTTTTGTTCCCGTAACAGCCGCTCTTGTCTTCCAGTACAGGAAGCTTCAAGGCAGGAGAGTGGCTCATGATGAGACAAGCCAGCCCAGGTACTGCCGCGCAGCTGCATGGTCATAAAGCTGCATTCCCGCACCCCTACAATGCCTGCTGAAGCTGCCCAGTTTGAGGTGCTGGATTCCATGGTAGGGATAAGTCTGGGCCCCAGATTGTCATCAGCCCTAGACTCAGCCCCTCCCTTGACCCTTGTGTCTCCCTGCTTCTGTCTCTATAGATGTGAACCAGCACCCGTATCCTGCCCTGATGTTTCCCATTCTCCTCCTGCTTGAAGCCTCTGCTCCTCTCCTGTCCCTATCTACAGAGAGTCTCCTGTTCTCCTTTGTACACAACAGGGTTGCAACCTTCCCTCCCCTTGAGCTTCATTTTGAGCACCACTCACCTGCAGATGCATTGGCAGGTGGAGGGTTCACAGAAGGGCTGCTGGACAGCTTTCTTTCATACACTGTGTGCTTCCTACTGGGCTCTCTCTGGCCGTACCTCTGCTATGGTGTGTAGGCATTCGTGCATCTGGTAGTATGGCCTTGGCATTCACTGTCCATGAGCACCTGGGACCCCTTCTTTTTTTTTTCTGAACACAAAACAATGTCTGTGGCTTCTTTACTAACCCAGGCAGGTGACACAATACAGAGCTAAAAGGACCAATGGAGGCGTCCCTGTCCCTGTGTGGCTCTGAATAAGTGGCCTTGGACAAGTGACCATGGCAAGTCATTTCATCACTGTGTGCCTTTGCTTCCTCGCTGAACTGACCATGTCCTGATCCTCTGGTACTGATCTACTTTCTTGCCTTCTACACTGCCCCCTCCTTAACTTGCTCTCTCTCTTCCTGAGTGTCTCAGAAAAGGCCTGCCTGCTCTTGGCCCAGCTGCAAAGAAATCATCATCACCCTTAATGTACATGAAGCTTGTCCTACTGGGCCCCCAGTGGCGACAGAACCTGCGTGAGAAGGAGCAGCAAGATGGCAAAGGCCCCTTCCCTTGAGATTGCCCCCCAGTCTCCATCCCCACTCATTTTGAGTAGCACAAAGACAAGGTAGACCTTTGACAAGCATTTATTAAAGTCTTGGGGAAACAAAAGGGAAATAGAACAGAAAGAAAGAAACAACTTGATAATTACAAACACAAACTCCTCCATGAACGTATTGTCCAAGAAAGGGATGGTGCGTGGCAGAACAAAACTACGCTGCTATCAGCAAGCCGAGTGCATATATGATAAGCTTAAAGTCCTTTGCAAAGGAATGGAATTCCACACAAAGCCCACTGACAGCCCAGCCTCAGAACTTGCTCCTGTGACAATCTGCTGGTGTGGGGCCTTGGATTATAATCCTTAAGATGTACCTGTGACTCAGTTGTCTAGAGATGGGAAGGATATTCTGCCTGAGACATTTCTTTCTTGCACACTGTCTTAGTAACGTCCTTGTTATTGGGGGAAATACCCAACACTCACAAGTTAATGGGAGTAAAGTTTAGTTTCGCTCACAGCATACAGAGGTTTCAGTTCCTAATTGCCTGGCTCCAAGCCAGTGTGGCATGGCAGAGGATCATCACAGGACAGAAACAGTCCATGGCAGGGCAGGCAGAGGCAGCAACATGAAGCCTTCCTTTCCCTTTTTATTCCATCCAGGCTACAAACCTATTGGTTGGTGCCACTCACCCCTAGCGTGGGCCTTCTCATCACCCACACCCAGAACTATACTAAACCAACCAATGAACTAATCCGGTCATCACACACTGTCTTGGTTACTTTTCTCTTATTGCTGTGACAAAATAACCAACACTCAAAGAAGGAAAGGTTTATTTAGCTCACAGTTCATGGAAATTTCAGTCCATAATCAGTTGGCCTCAAAACAAGGTGGCATGGCACAGGAACAAAACTTCAAAGAGGCCAAAGATAGCAAAAGCAACAAGAGCAAGAGGGGAAAGCTCTACTCCCTCCTTACATTGAGTGCAGACTACTCTCCCACCACCAGGATGGGTGTAGCCATCACAGAGTGTCAGTGCCCTCCCCTTGTACAGGCTCAGGATGTATACAAAATGAGGACCCTGGCCCCCTGCTAAGTCACTTAATTAAACGTCTAAATTTCTCAAGCTGACACAATGAACAACCTCCTAGGGCAGTAAAGATGTGTCCTCTACATCCCAGGATGTAGAACTGCTGAGTTAGTTAAAACATCTAGACTTCTCAAGTTGA